GAAATAAATCTGGTTCTAGCTAATGGCTTGGTTAATTAATTTGCTAACTGATCATGGGAAGCCGTATACAGCAACTTTACCTCCTTTGTCTGAACTTTATCCCTCACTAGGTATCTCTATGTGCTTGGTTTTTTAATGGAAAACTGGGTTGCTAGCAATGTATATAGCCTACTAGTTGTCAAAAATAACAAAGCAGATTTGGTATGCTCAATACTCAAGTCACTTAGTATATTCTTCAACCATGTAAACTCACAGAATGCAGCTGCCATAGACCTATATTTCGTTTTTAGCAAATGATCTTGACACTGTATGTTGCTTCTTAGACTTCCATGACACTAGGGAGTCTCCTACAAATATGCAATAACCTTTGATGGACCTTCTCGTGTTTGAACAAGTTGCCCAATCCGCATCACAATAGCCTTTGAGTTGAAGATCAGACCAATTAGGGAAAAACAATCATTTTCCTGGTGTGCTCTTCAAATAACGTAGAACATGATAAGATGCCTCTAGATGAGGCTGCTTTGGTGACTGAAGGAATTGACTTAATACTTGAACCGCATATGACAAGTCAGGCCTAGTTATTGTTAGGTACAAAATTCTCCCCACAAGTCTTTTGTAAATGCTTGGATCTACAATAGCTTCACCTTCATCCTTTCTAAGCTTCAAGTTGTGTGGTAAAGGACAGTTTCTGGTCGTGTACCAAGGTAGCCTACTTCTGTTAAAACATCTAATGCATACTTCCTCTGACTGATGGATATTCTAGTTGAATTTTTTTGCCATTTCAAGACATAAGAAGTATTTCAGGATTCCCAAATCTTTCAACTTGAACTGCCTATTTAGTTCATCCTTGAATTGTTTGATGTAAGTCAAATTATTCCCTCCAATGATTATATCCACATATATGAGAAGTATAGTGAATGAGCAGCCATCTTGTTTGGTAAACAAATAATAATCAGGCCTTGATTGCTTAAAACCTTATGAAAGGATGTATGAAATAAGCTTCATGTTCCATTGTCTCGAAGCTTGTTTCAGTCCATAAATGGACTTGTTTAAGTTGCAAACTAGTTGTTCACCTTGCTCCCCTACTACTCATAACCTGGAGGCATAAGCATATAGACATTCCTCATCCAATTCACCATGAAGAAAGGCATTATTGATGTCCAATTGGTGAAGATACCATTGATTGGTGGCTGCAACTGCCAAGAGTGTTTTGACAGTAACTAATTTTGCAATAGGGGAAGGTGTTTCCTCTAGTCCAGCCTGTTAAGTAAATCCCTTAGCTACTAAGCGAGCCTTCTTCTTTTTCCCGGTTCCATCTGAGTTGAGCTTGACTTTGAAGACCCATTTACAAGCTACTGGAGTCTTATAATCAGGTAACTTGGTGACAGTCCAAGTGCTGTTGGAAACCAGTGCCTGATATTCAAGCATCCATAGCTTTAACCCAATTAGGAAGCTTTGATGCCTCAATGAAGGTTTTTGGCTCATAGACGGTGGATAAGGCTAAGGCATAACTTCTTTGAGCATAAGATAATAAACCATAACCCAAGTAGTCCTTAATAGGATACTGCTTGCTTGATTCAGAGTCCTTCTTCACAAAATCTGATTGAGGAATTGGCAACTGAGACATGAGACTACAATGATAGTCTTATAGGTATAAAGGAGCACATTTCGGTCTATCATATTTTCATGTAGGGGCAATAGGTGGTGAGAAAGGGACTGCAGATGGTCTATCAGATTTTTGTGTTAGGTTTAGTAGATGAAGGAGAAGAAATTCTTCATACCATCTAAGGAAGGGATTGAATATAGTCCCCAAAGGTCGCAATGAATGATGTTAAAGGCTTGTGAGGCTTTAGTGTCACTATTAGGAAAAGGCAATATGTGTTATTTGGCCAAGTGGCAGATAGTACAATGATAAGTACCATTGAACTGAATGTGATTACCTGAGAATGCAAATGAATCAGGCTCTGGAGATGGAGAAGAAACCACCTGCTGAGGCTGTAGATTACAGGCCGAGATTTGGCTTTGCAATTGAGACATTAACATAGACGAGGTCTGCTGTCACTGATTTGGAGTGATTTTAAGGTGCAGAGAATTCATTATTCCTGAGGCATTATCATGAGATGATTGGCAATGATGTACTTCTCCAACAGCATTAACTACTAGAGGTTTTCCTTTGCCAAATGTGTGATTAGGATGATAACCTATCAACTTGTAACATTT